ATCTAAAATGTAATTATACTATAATACCATTTCAAATTTTAATACTTGAAATATTTTATCAATGAAACCAAAAAAAAATCTGTAATCAAAAACAAAATACAATTAAATTTAAATTAAGTAACTCTTTAATAATAAACCAATTGAAAGAAAATGTCCTCAACCTAATTTTAAAACAATATTATTAATTGTGTTCAAATATAACTAATTATTWTTTATTATTAACCTAAATAATCCATTGATATTTTTTCAATGCCGATTTTTGAAATTTCGGAATCACAACAAATTATGTTAATACTGCGGATATACAAAGTTGATATAGGTGCATAATATAATTWAAAAACTAATAATTAAAAGAACGCTGTTGAATAAATAATTTTTATGCCATCGAGATTTTAAAAACTAATGTTCTACACAGAAAATTGAAAAAAAATGTGAATTGATTTCGACGTATTTACATAGAATGTGGGGTTTCTTGGTGTAAGCTAAATATAAATGATCCGTTTTTATTGTTTAAAATCATAAGCTTTAAATAATTAAAACCTYCAATTAATTTCTATCACAAAAATACATTTTTGAATTTATACTTATGCTAATTAAATATTTTTTTATTTTAGAAAAATTAACTAAAATATATTTTGTAAAAATCTTTAAGTTTAACGCTGTAATCGATTTATTACAGAATGAAAACCGTAATCTTGGGACTATGCCTGTTCGGAGCTCTCTTCTGGAGCACTCAATCTATGCCTGTGGGTGAAGTTGCACCAGCAGTACCTGCAGTACCATCCGAAGCAGCGCCTGAAAAGCACGTAGAAGCTAAACCAGAAACTAACGCAGCTTCGCCGGTGAGCGATGCCAAGCCTGAAAGCGATTCGAAACCTGTAGATGCGGAAGTCAAACCAACTGTCAGCGAAGTTAAGGCTGAAAGCGAGCCAAAACCTTCGGGTGAACAAAAACCCGAAAGTGACGCAAAGCCTGTGGTGGCCAGCGAGACAAAACCGGAAAGCGACTCCAAACCCGCAGCTGTTGTTGAGTCTAAACCAGAAAATGACGCGGTTGTACCAGTCGCAAATGATGAAGTTAAATCAGAAAACGCCGCAGCCCCAGCGAGTGAAAGCAAACCAGCTACTGACCCCAAGGCCGAAACTGAATCGATTGCTGAAGCTAAGCCAGAATCCAAACCCACCAGTGACTTGAAGGCTGAACCACAGGCAGCTAAGCCCAACAGCGAGGTGCCTGTAGCTCTACCACTCAACCCGACTGAAACACAAGACGCAAAAGCAACTCAACAATCCATCGAGACCAATCAAGTTGAACAAGCAGCACCTGCGGCTGTACAAGCAGATCCAGCTGCTGCTCCCGCTGCTGCTCCTGCTGCCACCCCAGTTGCTGCCGAAGAAGCCAAGCCCTCTGCATCTGCTCCATCAACTGAAAACAAAGCTGCTCAAGAACCGTCCAAGCCAGCTGAACAACAGCCTGCTAAGCCAGCGGAAGATACTGTACCGGCTGCCAGTGAAATTTCTGAGATCAAGGTATTGCCCGCAGCACCCGCAGCACCTGCAGTACCCGGAGTACCTGCATCACCTACAGTACCTGCAGTCGCCGATCCAGTAGCTGTACCTGAAGCTGAAAAGAACGCTGAACCCGCCAAAGAAGCAAATTCCGCGGAACCAGCTGTTCAATCCGAATCTAAACCTGCTGAAGATATCCAAAAATCAGGCGCTATGGTAGCCGCAGAAAAYCCAAAGCCAGTTGAAGAACAGAAACCTGCCGAAGCCGCAAAACCTGACGAACAACCAAAATCTGAAGCACCGAAACCGACAGAACAAAGCGCCGCGGAAGAACCAACAAAACCAGGATCTACCAATGACGAAAAGAAAGAACAACATTCCGTAGACAAACGGGACTCCAACAAAGGGGACTCAAACAAAGGAAACGCCAACAAAGGAAGGAAGCCCACTGACCCTAATGTAAAGAAAGTAGAACAAAAAAAATCCCACTAGGTAATCAAAAATGACAAGACTGAATAGCAATATAAACGAGCCAGCCACCAAAAGGACCAGAATAACGTCCAGAACAAATAATCAACAATGTTTGTCATACACATTTAATACAAAAA